TATATATATAATATTTAAAATATATGCTGGTTTCTTAATATCAATCAACCTCAATTTAGATTAATCATTTTTAAAAATCACGTTATCATGCACATTAGGTTTATATTTAATGGAGGGAAAAACAAAAAATAAAATCTAAATTTAATAAACCAGTAGTGAGTAAAGCGGAATCGTAAAAATAAAAATCAGTTGGATTGCCTGTTGAAATTTGAAGGATCTTCGAAAAATCACTATCTTTAAACTTGTCGAATTTTAGAAACTTTAAATATAAATTTTTAAAAACTTTGACAGAAATGTATAAAAAATACTGACAGTGCTCAATTCAGAAAAAAACCGTAACCAATAAATGGAGGGCTAGACTGAAATAGTTAGAATAGTTTGAATAGTAACGTCAAATAGTTAGAATGTCTGAAGTAACTTAGAAATGTTTCTAATCGCCTATCAACTTCTCTCTCAAATCTTTTTCAAAATTTCAGCATCACAGTTGAATGCAATGAAATATCTGAACTTTGACCTATCTTGCGTTTAAACTTAGCGCAAAACTTACTTTTTTTTCATTTTTTCAAAGCTAATTAATTATTTACCATTATTAAATAATATATATTGTTTTAATTTTTGTATTGCTATTTTCGTTTCTTTTTCTCTGACTGCATTAAATGAAACCGAAAATATGACTTATAAGTGGTATTAAACTGCGGATGATATATTTACAAGAATATATTCTTTTTATTTCCTTCAGCCTGAAAATGTTGATCCCCGTTTCCTCATGAATTGCCAATAGGATATAAAAAAAGGAAGCTTTCAGAAGCTTTATTGATTTGTTAGTGCCGAAACAGATTTTTCATAAATCCGCAATTCGTTTAAAGAAGTGTGCTTTCTTATATATAAAGTTCTGATATCCGCAACATTCTGGAATTGTCAGCCGTCGTATATAAATGCCAAAAACATAACAAACAATGTGGACACTTTTTGGGTATTGAAAGAAATGCATTGAAACTGCTATTTTAAATTTATATTTCATGAGATAGTATCTGAATTTGAGCTATATCTCTCTATTCTTCAAAAAAAGAAACGTTGATTTATTTATTTATACTGTTTCTCGAGCTGGAAAAAAAGTATAAGGAAAAAAATGTTTTTCTCTGAATTTTTTCCGGAAAAATAAGATTTTGTATTATATTCTTTTTTCAAACATTAACTTTATGTATAGTTATTTAATTCTGTCTTATAAAATTGTGATGTTGTTCATTGCTCATTTTCTTCTCTTATTTATTTAAATTTTTTACTTCTTTTTCACTTCGATTTAACTTTTAGGTGAATATTTTATTTGATCCTCTACTTAAGCTGTAAGTTAGTAATCTACTTATTTTAAAATATTCCAGAAGTTTTCTCTATACATGTCGAAAAACTTCTGAAAGAAGAAAATAACATAATTGTGGTTATATAATTTTTTTTTCGAAACTCTCTAAGATTTATCTATAAATAAAGATTAGACGTAAATAAGAAAGTGGATATTATTTAGGTATCAAGTATTTTACATAATTTCGTGACTCATTTGTTGTTAAATTTTTAATGAGGCTTACTGAATTACGCCTACTATCGGGAAAATCCACTATTTACGAATTTTATATTTGGCACACTTCAAAAACATATAACTCAGTAAAAAAAAAAAACAGTTCCAATAATTTATTATGATCTCATTTATAGTTACTCCAAATTTTGTATTCTTCATTGGTTTAAGATAATAAAAACTGGGTGCAAGATATACAAAACAATATTTTACGTCCATGACGGCCAGTTTTTAATTTTTAAAGGGAGTTTTAAATTTCTGAAGAAGAAATAAAATTTTCAGAAAGTGTAAATAATACCGGGGACAATTTTTGACGAAAAGTATTAGAACTTTTTTTTCTTCTTTTTTCCAACATGCATGCATTTAATGTCTGCATGTAAGATATTTATAAATGGTATAAAATATGTCTGAAAAATTCAATTTTAATCTAAGCCAATTCAAATTTTCCCTTTCACTTTAAAAATAAATAATACTTAGTTGTTGATTAATTACTTAGTACAAACTAATGGAACTGTGTCTTAATTTCTTCCGAGAAACGCAGTAGACTTGAAAATTTTTGTGTCATTTGTTGTGACTGACTTTGATAATTGTTCTTCAAAATATGATTTTTTCTTTCGATTTAAAATTTTTTATCTAATATTCTAGACAATTAATATATATCATTAGCAAATTATCCAGTCAAATAGCACTAGCAAATTGTTTAGTTCATTAATTATACAATTTTATCAATATTGTGTTTCTATATTATTTTTATAATTCTGTATTAATTATGTCAATAACAGTCATTACAGTAATAATATTATAAACATGAATAGCGAGTTTTCCTGTCCTTAGTCTATCTCTGTTATATCTCTGTAAAGAGTACCAATTAAAATAAAAATGAAATAATTATAACGTAGGTTATAACTTACTTCTTCGCCTTCTTCCATGTGGAAATCTTTCCTCTGGTTTGGTCCACCAACAAAAAATACTTTCAGTTGTCCATCCTGATACCTGAAAATTGGGAAAGCATATATTGAGGTTATAAAATAACATTGCCTATGTAAGCAAGCCTTGGCGGATATTGCGTTTTCTAATATGGTGTAAAATATATATTAAGGTAAAAATATGCGCTTAAGAAAAGTGTTAAAAAGGATTATCCAGCTCTCATAGTTAGAGTTACAGTCAAAAGTTTCGTTTTCTTTTATAACAGCACTGATTTTCCCCCCTCTAAATGTGATTCTAACAGTAAGAACTTAAAATTTAGTTGGTACGATATCTTTAATGGGGGCGACTCTAAACAGGGATGAAAAGCGAAAGATACAACTTACAAAACACTGAATTATATTTCCCCCCTTCCCTTCCAGCGTCGTCACAGTCACGTAGTAACTAAAATATATGCTTAGTATATGCCCGTAGTAACGAATAATGCAAAATATATGCGCGTAGTAGCGAAAATATATGCTTATATAAATAATACGTTAGAACCAGCGTTTTTATGATAAACACATCTCGATTCTAGGATTATATTTTTATAGAGAAGATTTCATATTTTTTTTATAAATGAAGTTGTTTTTATTTCTAAATTTCAAAATTATACCTCAAAAACAGTAAACGCGAGAGCCGGAAATTTCAGTGAAGCATTATTCCTTAGACCATAGCTTATAAATCATTTATATATAAAATCAATTTCCCATTATTTTGAACCGTACAGTAGCTAGGGATTCAAAGGTTGAAAAAGATCTCTTATAGCCCCTCTATATTTATTATTATTGCAATTTATGTGAACAATACACTACAGTGTAAAGAAATACGAAAATAGTAAAAAAAAAAGAACTATTTAAAATTAGTTTATAATGAAATTATTAGTTTTCTTTCTTCTTTAGCTATTTACAGATATTCCTTTTAAATATAAATAAATAAAATACAGTTGTTTTCGTCTGCACTGTGAAAAAAAGAGTGGTGAAAACTACCAGAATATGTCAAATTAAACCGCTTTTCTGGTTCTATGAGTATACCAAAAGGTAACTCAGGTAATTAAAGGGAATGCATGGTAATGAGTTTTTGCAAAATTAACAATAAAATATGATTTTAGAACCATGCTGTTTGGCTAAAGGTGCAGCAATAAGTTCTATTACTTAGAAGACCAGGATTTCCGGTTAACTTTTAAAGGAAAATAGAAAAATCACCGAATGAATGGTTTAACCGTATATTTAAGATTTATTACCAGAATTACACTGTTGTTGTTTGTTTGTTTTTTACTAGAAACGACATTTCCACACAAGTATGGTAATTTTACCACAAATTCTATTCCCATACAAGTACGGTATTTTATCAGATTTTATTACACGACTCGTCAAATGTGCATAATCAACTCCTAAATGCACAACTACTATGAGTTAAACATAAATTATAAAATAATTAAATATAACATAAATTATTTGAAAAACATAAATTTTAAAAATGTAATTGAACAATTTTAGACATTGAGAAAAAAACTCATTTTTTATCTCTTGTTTTTAAATAAGTAACCATGTGACTTCTTTTTCAGTTGTTACACCATCTCATATTTCTACTTTTTTTTAAATAAAAAGATATTAAGATCGCAACTCATTATGCAAATGATATATCGTAGCAAAAGAAGCTATCTTTAAGTCCTGTTGCCTTTATCCTTTTTAAAATGAAATAAAAATTCTAAAAAAAAGCAAAACAATAAACGAACTATGGACAAACAAATAGCGTTGCCATTTGTAGCTTGTTGAACAAGGAAATCGCATAATTTTTAAACATGAGGTATTCAATCATTCTTTTCATTAAACAACGAAATACATGAATAGTGTTCAATTTAAAAGGTTGAAAAAAATAATTACTTATTCAATAAATAACTTGGTTGAAATTGTTTTGTTTGACAGTATTTTTTCTCATTGTTTTTTTTTCAGAAAAAAATTAAAAAGTTAATTTATTTAATGTAGATATATAAATAAAATATAAATCTTTTATCTACTTACGAATTTTATTGATTTTAATTGGAGAGAGGAATTACATAAATTACAGTCAATGAAATTGACATTTTTTTTAAAATCTAACTTTAATTCATGCTAAAATTATATTTTTCTATTATTATTTAAAAAAGCTATTCTCATTGATAAATATTTACCAAAAACTGTTTTGTATTAGGTGAAAGCTAATAAAAGAAATCGTTTAATGACTTGAATTATCTCGATGTTTCAAATTGCACAGATATTTTTCCAACTTGTCATTATTTATAATTTCGTGGAGTCACTCTTCGTAAAGATTTTACTGAATTTCTTGCTTACCTCTAATTTTGTACATATCAGTAAAATGTAGTTTATAATTCGGGTAATGATATTTATTTTTTTGTATTTCAGAGTAATATGATAGTTGCAGAGTTTTGCGTTTTTATATATATTCTGTATTATGCTTCTAAAATAACTACGCATATTTCTCATTTTTTATTTTAATATAATTCTCTTTTTCAGAGACTTTAAAATATTTAACGATATTTGTTTAATTTGTCTAATTTGCAAGTTAAATATCTTTTTTAAAAAAATAAATATTCTTGAAAAATTTTTTTATCCTTGAGGAAATAAAAAAATGAATATTTCAGTGTGAAACTGTGTCACTGAAAGAATACATCGCAACAAGATTATATATATATATATATATAACTCAGATAAATCTANTTTATTCTTCATTTTGAATATATATATATATATATATATATATATATCAATCTATGTATTACTGAAAAAATAGAAATATTTTCTCTGGGACTTTAAACTCTTTAACAATTTTTGTTCAATTTGACTAATTTTTAAATTAGATTTTTTTGTCAAAGGAGAATGGTTTTTTTTTCTTAAAAAAAATTAGCTTTTAATGTATTTTTTAACATATCACTATAACTACTTGCAAGATAAAACAAAATAATAAAGAAAAAGGTTATGTTTAAACCTGCATCAAACACAGCAAACAATGAATGTGATATTTTTATAAGGTGTAAACGTTTCTGTTATGCACAACCATCCTTTTTTTTATTAATTTTTAACAGATCTTAACTAATTTGAAACAACGATGATTAAAATTGTACTATTCAACTCAATATTTCGGTGATTTCATCGCTTTAAGAATAAGATTGTAATAAAAAAGAATAAATAAACAGTGATATTTCAGACTAGAGGAAAATGAGAGCAATGACAACTTCAAACTATATCAAGACGTTTAAAGCGTGTGTCTTTATATATTTTTTTCTTTTTAAGAAAAAATTGAAAAGGTTGGCTTTACAATATGAAAGTGAAAGTTGTTATACAAATAAAAGATAAAAGCACAATTTGATTACAGGCTTCACTTCTCAAACTAAAATATTATTGAATGCAACCAAAAGATGGCAGAAGAAGATTTCTTGCAGATTGTAGAAGTAGTAATTAAAATATTTTTATTCAGTATTGAGAAATATTTTAACAACCCTTTCTAACAGTTTTTCTTTCTAAGTTTTGCAAGATTATATATCTTATTTAATGCCACTAAATATTATCGTTTTTTTTAATTATACATTGCACATTTATAAAAGATGGAAAACTATCAAAAACTGAATTTTATTTTCATTTGGAATTAACATTGAATCCGTCTTAAATAGATTTTTCTGTAATTATAGTTAACAAAATTGCGATACATTAAAGTTGAATTCCTATAGTTAATGAAATATGACTCCCCCAAAAGATAAAAAACTAGAGACTTTTAGAAAATATCGAAAAACATATATTATTAGGCAGAAGAAAAAACAAAGATGTGAAATTATTAAAAGTGTACAAATCTTAATAAATCTGTAATTGGAATCTAATTTGACTTACATCAGTTTATTGCAAATAGGAGGTAAAAAATAATGATGATTGTTATCCAGCCATGTTTTAACATCGTACTGAATCGCAGTCATTTTTTTAAATACTCTAAAAAATCAGTAAAAATATTGAGTATCTTAAGTCACCCGGCAACTTCGCTCAATTGATGACGATCTCTTGTCACTATGGAAATTGCGACATAACTTTGATCTTGCGATAAATTGTATCTTCTTTTAGCAGTGAAAGAAAACTTTATCTCTCACTGATAACAAAATTAAATAACTGTTATGAAATAATTGTTTATAGTAAAACCTTTCTAAAGTTTTGAATCAAAAACATTCTTAATTTTAAAACTTAAAATCGAAGTAAATAGAAAGAAAGAAAAAGTTTGTGAAAGTATATTTCTATAATTCACATCTGCCGATGTCGGTTGCTTGATTCCAATGTCACTATCCTCTAGTAAATGTCGACATTCGCGTAATGTTTATTAAATTTTATCTTTTTTCTCTTCATCAGAAAATGTCAATATACAACATAAACAGATTTTTTAGATAACATAAAATATTTTTACAGAATGTCATATTTATTACCTACTGCAGCATAAATCAAAAATTCAGCATACACTGGTAATGAATGTCGCATGGACATTTTTTTGTTAAATACCTCATTTCCCTTTTACTGGGGAGCATGTCGACATTCTTCATGCATTGAGAGTGAATGTAGTATGAAATATTTTTTAAATACCATATTTCTCGCTTATTGTGTCACACGACGAAGATAAGTGTCACGGTGGCTCAGGGAATAGAGCGTTCACCTTCCAATGAGGTGAACCGGGTTTGAATCCCAATGATGACTGGTAGATGCGAATTCCGCTCGTAACAAGCACTGTGCTGAAGTAAAATATCCTCAGTGGTAGACGGATCATGGATTAGAGTCACATTTCTGCCAGACTAAACATGGGAGGTTTTCGTTGGTTTCCCTCTCCATGTAACGCAAATGCTGGTTACTTCAGTCTAATTTCTCACAATACTTGATCTATGAGTTCCTTTGTCTTCTGGATTGAGTTCAAAATTACAAGGTTACAGATTTGAACATTAATCGTAAACCCAAAATTGTATCTGCTGTTCAGTGATGGTTATAAAGTAAAATTAAAACGATGATAAACTTCGATTTCTTGCAAACTATTCGACCGATTTCACTTCAAATTTGTATTTTGCAATGTAAATTACATTTTTTGAAATAATTCAAAGAAATTGCATGTCTTACAATTTAAAATTTTATCGATTGTTAAGAAATAAAAAATATAAAACAATAGATATTTACTAAAATTTATTTTGTGCATGAAATTATCTTTGTTATCTATTATCTCAATCCTCATTAAAAGTTCAATAGATATGCTGAAATAAGCAAGAAGTAAAATTAATAATAAGGGGAACCATTAAGTTCACGTTTTGTTCAAAATACATACTCTTTTTAGAAACAAATTCTTAAAATGGAATATTTTTATTACATTTTTTGTTATCACTTAAATTTTCTTTGTCAGTTGGGTGAAGTGTTTGCATGAGTGTTATAAGAAGTGAAATTGCGTACAACGTATAAATGTTTTTAATAAAGCATTGTTACTAAAGGTATGAAATGTCTTATAAATTATATACCAGCAATATACAAGTTTATGAACACATTAAGGCATTCTATTTCAATTTAGTTATTTACTAAGATTGCAAATTTCTTTAACGATCTATTTGTAGTTCTTATAAAAATATTTTAGAAATTAATTTAGTTAACAATCACTTATATATCACAAATTAGAAACATAAATAAGAAGTATTATTTAGGGAAACGTCTAGGAAGAGGGGGAGGTTAGAGAAACTTTAAGAGAGCATTCTACTGATATTTTAATAATTTTAGTTTGACAATATTTTATTTAAAAATCACTTAAAATATTATCTGACATTATCTTTTATCTTATATCATATCAACAAATTATCCCATCTTTAAATGTTTTATATTTCCCCATGATTCACGATTCAATCGAATTCAGAGAAACAGCTCCAACTATCTTGCAATTATTTTAATGAAGTTTTGAAGGTTATGCATCAAGTACAGTGTACTGGTTAAGTATACGCTTATTAAGAAACGTACACATGTTTGTTAAGAGTAAGTACATCTTTATTTCTGATTTCTTAACTTAAAGCAACATTTGTGTAAATTAATAAACATATTTAAAATCCGGTTTTTAATCCAATAAGAGCAGGTAAATAAAAATAAATTAGAGCAAAAGTTCAGTTGCTATCTCTTGAGTTTTCCGCATTATTCATTAGAAATTTTTATTTAAATATTTTTTATAAAAATTCAATTTGAATTCAACTTAATAACTTTTAAGTGCTTGCGGCTACTTTTAAATTGCGGTAATCCTTGCCCCAATATTTTTAGAATATGAAATCCAAATCTGTCGAAAAAAAGGTATTTTAATTCAGAGAAAGTACGTAATCGTGTATTATTTCATAACTTAAACTATCGTTTTATCTTAATACTTAACATAATTGAGGTCACTTCCCTGAACCATTGAATTTGAGTCTTAATACCTGAAAATCCGAACATTACATCAAAAGTTATCCAGATTGTTTCGTTTTCATTTCGCGTATAGTAAATACAGTATAAAAACTTCACAGATTGTATATTTTTATGTATTTTTGAAATTTTATTTGAAATGCATTCCCATTTTTCATACTAAGAAAGACTATAATACATTAGTATCCAAGAAAAAAGTAAGCAAAGTTGAATTACGGAGTGATTCCAAGGCATTTCCAGAGACTAGCAAACACACAGCTATCAGGGCCGGGACTCTCTAAATAAATAAAATAATTCTCATGATGTTTATTTCCATTTTTATCCTTTTTTTAGTAAAATATACATAATAGTGTTACTTCTTTCGAATACCGAATGTCCTATTCAAAGAACACGTTTCCTTATTTTTAACATGAATTCAAAGATATCCTTACTACCATGCTTATGTTAGTTTGGGAACATGAATACAAAATGTCTTGAATTTATTCATGAAAGTTTTCAACTTTTACGAAATTCTTTGGTAGGAATGATTATATATTTCAAATAAATATAAATAAATATAACTCGAAATCAGCATACAAAAGGACAATTTTCCTTTCTTCTCCCTGGTATGAGAAAATAGATTTTATGCCGATGACTATCTAAAACTTAGCGTAGGTGAAATATGCATTCTAATGAAAGAATGTTGTTTTTTTCCGATGTTTCGAGTTGTTAGTAAAGTTAATATTTAAAATATAATTGATAGAAACACATTTTTAAATTTTTTAAAAAACCACTTTAGTTTAAGTAATTTTTTTTTCCTTTTTTTTATTCCATGTTCCCAAAATGTATACAAAGAAATTCTCATAAATATTTTATAGATCATCTTTAAAACTTTTTTTTTTAAATTTTTCATGAAATTGGAAATTTTAGGCACTAGCATGGGAGCAGATTATCAATCTGTTTTAAGATTCTACTGGCCCGGGTCCCTTAAAGTAGGTTTACTTATTTCATAGTTTAGCTTGTACTGTTATCAGGTATTATTTTTATCAGTCATTTCTAAGTTTAATTCATAGCAGTACCCATTTCAAAAATAAAGTTTAACAATTAGATTAAAAATACATTCTGAATAAAAATCATATCCTAAATACTGAATCTTTTTATTTAAAAGTTTTAAAATTTTTCATTTTTTTAATGTATGCTAAATTTGCTTTATTTTTTTCAAAAAAAGTTGATAGCTGGCGAAATACTTACCTGTTATTCCCAGTTAAATCTCCAATTAATCATGTTTTGATGTTTATTACATCAGCTTTCTTCTATTGTAATTTATTAGATTTCAACAACCTTTTTTGCTTTCATCTTCTCTTTAATAATTATTGATTTCCATTGTGTATAGTTTTTAGTTTTCATTTTTTATAAATATTCTTGAAATACATTTTTAGTATGGTTCTTGTGGAACACCCTGTATAAAGTGCATAAAAGTTATGTTTGTTCGGATTATTCAGCACCCAAACTAATAATCTCTTTTTAGAAGCATTTAAAGAATTCAAACTTAATATAATAATTCTAAATGTAGGTGTTGCTAAGCATTCTCGAAGATTTTAATATCTTAGACATCTTTGTTTTTATTTAAATTTAATTTGCAGAGAAAATCTGGAATATTTAAGAAATTCTGATCAAACAATTTTGAACAGTAATATGTTTCAAAAATTCTCATTAAATATACTTTTCTCGAAATAAAGGAAGTTCACTCCCATATTGTAGAATCTTATTATTTGTATTATTTTTCAAGGAAATCTGAAACCATATTAAAGATTATTATTATTTTCTTTTTGTTGAAAATGATAGTAGACTTTGATTAGAAATTTTGATTAGGGTTCAAAGAAAAGAACAGTATGACTATTTAAATTGGCCAACATTCTAACATAAAATGAGAATTCGTGTGTGTGGTCAAAAAGTAAAAAAACATGAATAACTTTTGTCCTAATGAATGGACGTTCGCGTGCTAATTACCAATATTAATGATTCGTAACATTGAATATAAAAATTCAAATATTGAAAAAATACTTAAATTCACCAAAATAGCTCAAATTATTCAAGAGAATTGAAAATTCAAAAGACTTTACTTCGCTAATTTTATAACTTTTACAATTTTAAACTATTAGACAGATTTCATTCCAATTTTGTATTTTGTCAATTAACGTCCATTTGACATTGTCACGAACGAACAGCAAAATTTAATGTTCATTTTTCACTTACGATTACATACTTTCAAATTACAAAAAATACAAATTTTTTATGAAGGGAATTTAAACCATTAAAATTTTTAAATTTATGAGTATAGCTCTCGTAAAAGAGGTTTCTTGGAAAATGCACATCGAGGACGCAACTGGTCGAGCCTCTGAAATGGTCTGACTCAAAAAGAATTTGCCTACTGAATCCATGTGGACAACGCTAAATGAACAATGCTAAATGCCACATATTACACTAGAAAGACTGAATATTTAGTTGTCATAGTTGTATGCCTGAAAAGTTTGAAGAGACTAGTGTTGCCCTTAGCAGATTGTCGTCCCAAAAACATAATCACAATTAATTTAATAAAAAATATATTCAATATTCGAACATCAAAACTCTTCGATATTTCAT